ATTACTACTACTTTCTTCTCTTTTTTCTTTGTTTTTTTTTTTTGCTTTGTGAAAAATATCTTTAATATAATTGTTAATAATATTCACATAAATCGAATGTATAATGATAATATTTTAAAATATGAAATTAAATATAATATTATCTGAAATTTATGTTTACTTTCTTTTTTCTTACAAATTAATTTTGAATGACTTTAATACTACTATTATTATTCTTATCGTTATCATTATCATTATCATATAAACATCACGATAATAATAATGAAAAAGAAAAAAAAAACGAAAGAAAAAGAAAAGCCTTTCTTTTTTTTTGCCATCTATCTTAACAAAAGATTATTATAATAATGGAAATTGTTAATAAATGATATATTAAAATAGATACAATCATTCGCATCATTATCATTACTATTATTATTACTATTATTATCATTATCATCATCACTATCATTGTTATCATTATCATCAATAAATGGAAACGAAAATCCCATTAAAAATCAGTAATAATGTGCATCATTTCGTTGAGCTTAAAATTTATGATTCCCAAACAATTCCATTCATCCATTCGGCAAACCATCCTGAATTGCATACCATCTGTCTCATTTCATCATTATCATCATTAGATTGCTATTTCTTCATTTTATTTGATCATTTAAAAATTATTACAAAGTAAAATTTTGTAGGGAAAAGAAAATAAGATTATGGAAAATAAAAAAGAAAAACAAAGAAGAAAGAAAGAAAGAAAGAAAGAAAAAGATTTAAATTTATTTTTATCGACGAAAAATAGAAAAAAAAGCAAAAGAATAAAATAATTAATAATTAATTGTTTTCTTGAGCGAAAGTAAAAAAATAAAAAAAAGAAAACCAATAATAATAATAAAATCTTTTAAATTTAAAATTTAATTAATATTCATATTAAAATTTGAATCAAATGAGTAAAAATAAAAGAGCAAAATAATCAATAATTAATAAGTTAACTTAAATTAATTGAAAATTTATAATTTGTATAAAAATTATTTCAGATAAAAATTTCCATTTTATATTGTAAACATTTTCGGCATTTTTAGAATAATTTTATGTGCTTATAAACATACGTACATTGTTTTAATTATTAATTATAGTTTGATAATTTCAAAAAGATGCTATTAATTGATAAGGTACTGATTAACTTCTTAATATTTCTTATCTTTAAATATTACTGAAATTATCATATAGTACATTGAGGATAGTTTCGTTGATTCAATTTAGAAAAAAATTAAGATTAATTAAAATTTGTAAAATGATTTTTACCACTTTCTTCCCTTTCTCTCTCTCTCTTTCTCTTCTATCATATTTAATTTTTTATCTATCCATTTTTATATATTTTATTCGTTAAACATTTGCTGATGAAATATGCAAGAATGGATAGATAAGAAATTAAATTTAATTAATTAAATAATTAAACGATCAATTTGATAACAATTACAATGTTGTTCCTAACATAAACTTATGCATTAAACCCATATATTAGATTGTTTAAAATATTATTTTCGTATTTATTATTAAATATCAAATTGTAATCTTTTTAAAAAACGTATACTTCTTTATTTAATAAAATTTATTTTCTTTTTTTGTCTTCTTTTTTAGATTTAAATTATAAAAATTTTTATTTAGGTTCGTTTTG